CAAACCAGAAATCAGGAATGAAGTGGATTGAACATCTACTCCGAGAGTAGACTATATGCTGGAAAGTATGTGATCTAAGTTGATTAGTTATTGAAAGGGATGCGTTGCACGGAGTACAGACTAGTGCTGTGGTGCGGTTGCGTGAGTGAGCGCTCTCAACTAGGGTGTGTCCAATAAAACTAACGGGCTCAGTTTCAATGTCAAAGACTTACCAAACCACTTTTTTTGGGGATTTATTTTTCATCGTTACCTAAACAAATATTACCACCCGGCTATTCAAGCAATAATTGTTCAACCAATCAAATCTAAATTACAATAAATAAAGAAGTTGATAAAAGGTGCGGGAAAAATTACCGGTCACAACAAATGAATGCCATCCTATCCTGACTGGATAGAACATGCACAAAAGGAGGAGCAAATCAATATGGCTGCCGTCAAGATCAAGTATCAAGCAAAACAACATAGATGCAGTTCGGGAAGAAACACAAAATTTTAGTGAAGGTGTAAGAAAAATAAAAACTATAATAAAAAACAAAATATTAACAATTCAAATGTAATCATAAACTAACAGTGTACAACTAAGAGGATCAATAGGAACAAAGTGCAAGTGTATACATGAAGGGATTTTCACGCACACACAAAACATTTGAAACGGATCTTACAACAAGAAATGCCTGAACCTTTTGAGGGAGCTTAGACAAAAGAGTTGTATAAACAGGCCCTCGTCAAAAGCCCATTGACCTGTGACCTCTCAAATTTGTAACAACATTTGCGCCGTTGAGCCATATTACAGTTCGATGTTTTGGAAAAGTTGGTCTAATCTTTGTCTATCGGATAGGTCTTCACGTTTAAGAATAACCTTCTCTGAAGTTCCGTAAGGTTTTGAACCATCACAAGTCAAAAGACTAGGTATGGCGTACATGTTAAAATCGTGTGGCAATACCTTCACTACTGGGAGAAATTGTGCGTGTGGGTCTGTCACGCCGTGTTCATGGAAGTCAGCTTCTGCGCAGCAGAATCAAGCTTCTATAGTGTCGGGCCACAGTGGCATGGGTTGAAATATGGCAGGCAAAAGAGTCTTAATCTTAAGTAACATAAGTGTCTGTTCAGTCATGATGAAGACGAGATGAATCAATGAACGAGAAAAATATCCGAAAACAATGTCACACTATGTACAAATAAAAATTTAAAATAGTGTATATGATGTTCCAACAAGAAACAGACTCACAGTTTACTGTTTGATGTGCTAGATCACGTTGATCTTACCAATGAATGTGCCTCAAGTTTGACAACTTCTTTATAAGCAACACCTTCATAATCGAAGTATACCATCACAGTCAAATCAGAAATCAGGAAGAAAGTGGTTCGAGTACATATATTTGGAGGGCTATTGTTATATCGGGAATTCTTTAGTCTAAGCTGGCTAGCAGTTGCAGGTGATGTGTAACACGGTGTTCCCAATAGTGGTTTGGTACGGATGAGTGACCGAGTGCCTTCGTCTAGGTGTCTTCAGTAAAACTAATTAGGTCAGCATCAATGTCGAACACTTACAGAACTATTTATTTCTGGAATTCATTTACTGCTAAATTGGGTTACTGTACTTCGGTTATTGATGTGTGACCTAAGTATTTCTGTTATCATCAATCAGACCAGAGAGCTTTCCCTGTGTCTAAGATACGTTAATAACTGATAATTAGTTATGTACATTTAGCATTTCTTGTGTATTTCTCATTTTACGATAGTGTCTGTACCTGTTGGTGGATGTATTGTTCAGGTATGTTTGATTTAGTTTTTATCTACATCTTTTCCAATAGTACCTTTTTACACACTCCTGTACGTTTTGTAACGCTCTTACAAGGATGCTATTGGTCATTATTGTTTTTTGGTCTACAAAGTAGAGAAACAAGCTTTCGCTTTCGAATATGCAGATGCTTTCAAATAATCAAAGTAGTAAGCGGAAATTCATTGCCTTCAAATGTGAAGCAGAATTGGTATGTAGTGCTTCATGCCCAGCCTGAAGGTAGATTATATGTGGGCAAAAGAAGAACGTTCTGAGTAGTGTGCACAAAGAATGTCATCAAACGTCGGCCGACAACTCAGCGGACAAACAAAATACACTTGCTTTTAATAGGGAAGGCAATGGGGAACAATCAGCAATAACACAAGCCCAAGACTAAGACGGTTTAAGAGTTGGGACTAGAAACAGTGTAGTCCTAATCCTGTTACAAAAGTTTCCTTTGGCTTCAAGCACCATCTGCGACCGTTAAATTGGCTTTTTGTCAGTGAGCAGACCTCGTGAGAAATAATCTCAGAAGAACTAATCAGTCTTTCAGAAGGTCTGTTTTCCATTTTTAACTAAACTAGAACATGTGAACAAGAATACAGAGGGATTGAGTCTTACATTTGGGTTTGTAATACATTCCACAATGGAGATTTTATAGAAACATCAAGCACAACTGTCTGTGCTTTCTCAGAGGCTTGCAAACATTCATGACAGCAAATACCCCGCACATAAAGTTAAACGATAGAACTGTTGAATAGGTGAAAGTAATATTTACGACCTGCTGGCTAATTACGGATAGATGTGATTAAGACATTTGGGTCCTTCTGGACATGCATGTCATTAATCAGAGAACAGCACTAAGTCTAAAAAGAAACCGGGAAAAACAGTAAAATATGGAAAAGTTTATTCGCTTTTCTTCTCGTACCAGGACAATATGTGAATACCGGTGAATTTGATATTTAATGTCATCAACAATAAGAAAGCTGAAGCACCGCTTATCTTATGCACCATTTGAGTTGTAATCTAGATATTCATATATTTCGATAGTGTAATAAGAAGATGAAGATTATCAGAACTATGTGATATATTAGCGCAATACATTTCGAACAGTCTGATCACATATACTTGTTAAAAACATCAGAACATAGTTTTGATAATCTTCGTCTTCTTATTGCACTATCGAAATTCATCGAAAGGACTAATTGCTTTAAACTCATATTTACGTAGGCTTTTACTACATTTGTCTCTTCTTCTCTCATCAACCAATCAGTTCTCGCGTACCAGATTATAATTCAGATAATAGAACAAATTCTCTGCTCCCTTCTGAAGATCAATTTTTAATCATTTAATCCTTTTGAATTATATCCCTCATCCTCGGCTGTCAGTTGTGCATAACATCATTTTCCTATTTTCTGCTTATTTTTCAGTCTTTGTTGTGTTGATTTTATGTGTAAGAAATCGAACCGAATTTTCGCCAGGGCCTACACTGAATATCAGTATCTATAATTTATAGATGTCAGGATTCCTTTGATATTGTTTTGTCTAAAATATATGCGGTCTCAAAAACTTGTCTAAAGAGTTTTAAATACTGGCGGTCATCGAAAAGAAACGTAAAATCAAGTCAGAAATGAAGCGATAGTAGCAGGGTGAGATTTGATGAGTGGAATAGAGGTCTACGAGGCGAGTTACCTTAGGACTCCCGTCTATATTCCACGGAACACTTATTTCAAACTCATCTTTCTGCTTAGTTTCTACCTCTTCTTTACATGTTTTATTTGTACTGTACTTATCAGGATATACATTTCTAAGATATTCAGTATGCCTTTTTTTCTAACGACTCTTATTTTAGATATTTTATAAAGAACGGACACTCACATATAACTGGTGAAAATTGGAAGTAACTACATTGGATTATGATGCAGGTGTAGTAGATCTGTTCAGTTTAAGAGGTCCGTCAATTTCGGTGCAAAATCAAGAGCTGCTCTGGTTCCCGGTGTTCCATTCAAGGATATCAGTTAGTAGGATATAGTGCATTAAAAGTACCTAAAGAGTTGTAGTGATATAAATATTCGACGTAACCGACATACGTACCGGCTTAAGTTAGCATTTGTGTTTGCCAATGGACCTGGGACACTGGTACTGTCAAAGTTTGTGCGGTTCTACTAAATCCCACCTGTTCAACTTTCACAGATTCAACGCAGCTGCAAAATACCGAATTGAATGTGGTCACGGAAAAATAATTAACACATGTGTAGGGACCACTCATTACTTCTTTACTTGACGGACTTCATAACGATTTAGTTATTGGTGACAATATTTGTAGTTCTGGACTGTATAATACATCTTTGAACCTGGTTGTCAATTGTTGTCCTTCAATAAATCATTGGGTCTTATCAAGTTGTTCGCAATGTCTCAGTAACAGGTGGTCTTCATAGTAGTATATTTTGTATTTCAGGGAATTGCTTAGAGACCGGTCTATAGTATTTAATAGACATTTTTCTTAAGAAATTATGGCTCCTGGTGGCTTTAAATCTGGTATATAATTTAACTTAATCGTGTATTTTACCTGCAAATATTTCATCACTGAGGCCACCCAATGATACTTAACAGGTTTCTTTGGGATTAATTGACCACCTTCTATCCATTTTGGGATTTTTCCAGTTACGAACTTGGGTATAATGGAAAACATCATGAAAATGTCTGCGGTTACCAAAGCTATCAAGCTAACGTGCCCATATTAACTGAAGCGGGCTTTGGGATTGGAAAACTTTCCAAATGAATAGGACAATCTGGAATTTATATTTCAGTATGTTTGAGTAACAATGACCAGAAATATTAAAATAGGAACTATCATATTATTTGCCTATTCTATAAAGTATTTACATAAGTATTTATTGGATACAAATTTGACTTTTCAATCGATTGTTAATCGCTTAACACAAGCTTACAATCTATCACATACAGTCATCTTTTTATCTAACTTGTCTTTATAGAATATCCCAGATTATATCAGTCAGTACATTTCAATTCCCATTGTAGTTTTGACACTCGAAACGCTTTTATATCTGAATGAAAAGACTATTATCAATAACAAATTAGTCAATAATAAAAATTCTATTTATAAAATATACATTTCTTTTCTTATATAATTTAATTCTTTAAATTCACTAAACGCATAACCTTTCCAACTATTGAATACATTTCATAATAATGATAATTATGATAATTTATCAAAACGTTCTTTTGTTTTTGCACGAATATATGCTTGTGATAATTCTCTTGGTGTTGAATCAATCGATATTGTATTGTTTGATAAACTGCTTGAACCAAGACCAGCTTGTGGATTGACACGTAAACTAACAGTTATCTTGAATAGTGTGACATACAGTAGAGTTGAGTAACGTCGTCATTGGTAGTGTACAACAAGTTATTAAAGAAAAGATCCAAAAAAGGTGAAAACAAAACACTTTATTATTCAAGTCTTTCAGATAAACAAGAAACATATATATTATAAAACAGAGAATAGTTATTTAATGTAATACTTTAACTTAGTAAAGGTTAATGTACCTGACTTTACTGCACACTTTATGTGTGTATACACTGATTTGACACTATTTAATTGTCTAGACTACATTACATTTTGATAGGGAGTGGGTTAGATATTATAACTTAGTGGTAAAACACATCAAGCACTTTAACCATTAGGTTATCTTGTTTATGTATATTTTATTCTATTTTTCAATTTGTCATAACTATTTAGGGATAATTGAGAATATTTAGATTTTACAATGATAATATCGACCTTGTTTGGAAAATTCAAACTTTAGAGCAATCGTGTTTAGGGAAACTTTTACTGGTAGTACGTTATTTGAGCTGGGTGATTGTTTAATTGAAATGTCTATTTAGAGTAGATGTGTGATTTTCATGTAAACCCTATATACTAGCCATGTCATATGAAAAGTCATCTTATTTTGCACGAATCTTTTATCGATCGATGATACCTTTAATTCACCAATAAATTGAAATAATGGCCTAGTGGTTGAAGTACTAGGCTGTTACCTTATAAGTCGAAAGTCCGAATCTCACTTTACTTATTTCGGTTTGGGCAGCCAGATAAAACCAATAAGTCTCAGACAAGTCGAGTGGCTCAAAGATGAATGATATATAAACCTCTAATTTATGGGTTACATTTCAACAGTATATTCATATAATGAGCCAATGGTTGTGCAGTCTGAAATCTCTTCGGCTGAAAGTCCCGAATCGGTAACTATCAAATTATCAGTTCAACCACGTCCACTATCTCAATATGTAATCAGTCAATTATTTTGCCATAACGCTGATTTTTTCAAAATATACTGTAATCTGATTGATACTATGGAAAGCGTTTCTGAAGTACAGTTGAGTCATTGTGTATACAAGTTTTTCACTAACATAAAGTGAATACAAAGAAAAATCGAACGTTATCATCTTTAACTTTCAAAATGGCTTATCATAAAATACAGTACTGAAATATTCGTCTGACAACCTAATGGACCTGATGAGTAGAATTTAATGAACTAGGCCAGGAAACAGTGTTCAAGGGGTTTGTACTTAAGGCTAAATTTCACTATCCATAAACATATTTCGCTTGTAACTGATTACTTGTCACTTAATTGCAACGCTTTGAATAGGATTTTTTCTTCTAGTCAACCTTGACTATTACATATATCTTAATATGTAAAAAAAAGAGATGGTGCACGCTTAAAGAAGTTTGAACAAGTAGGAAATAGTTGCTCATTAATCACCAGTCTACAAAAAATTTACCAGTTATCATTACTTTTTAGGTTAAAGAAAAATTAAATAGTAAAAATAGAATCAAACTAGTGAAAATCAATTACCGGTTCTGAAATTCCAGTTTTACTTTTACCCAATCCTTGACCAGGTGTCCAACCCATTTTAGCTAATAATTTAGCTCCTTTATTTTCATCTCCAATAGGTTTATATACACTGGCTGGTGTTGCTCGAGTTATTAGTGGAGTTTTAATAAGTTGCTGTTTTATTACACCTGGTGCAGGAGGTAATGGATAACCTGCTGCTTTTAAATTTGCTTCGATTGCACGTCGTTGTGCAGCACGATCCATATATTGTCTGTCTGTCTTTGTCTGAGGTCTTATTCGCGGAAACTATTGATCGAAAGGTAAACAAAGTGATTTTTAGAAAAAAATTGCTTAATGTAATTGTTTTTGAAGATTATATACATAATGAGTTGACTTTAGTTAAACAACTATTTCATAACACGGAGAAAGAAACAACTGTTCCATTCTAGTATGAGACTTCTCAACGGTACGTAACTGCAACTACAAGAGAGATTAAACTGAAGACTCTAGGGCTCACTGTAAGCATGATGCCTTGAGATAATTGAATTGATATCTTATGATTCACATTTCTAACTTAAGTCAATTTTTTACAACTCAATAAACTTTACTTTTATTAAATTGCTAATTAAAGCCAGTGTAAATTAACATGAATTTATCAAAGTAAGAATAATTTACACAGGTTAAGCAAAAAAAGGTATTAAAAATATTTGTCAGTACCCGAAGAGTTTTAATCTCGATAATGCTATTCAAAAGCAGATGACAAGATCCTAACGTAGAAAAATATAGGTGAATGATTAATGACAGTAATGTTTAAACAAGATTTTACTAAAACTAAACAGCTCAGTGACAAACTAATCAGTGTCAATGTAATGTTTTCAATATCCCAATTGTTTCGTAATATTAATGTCGAATATAACCAGTTTTGTGTAGCTCAGTTATTAGGATGATATATTAAGTATATCATTCAACTTTAAACTATCCAAACAAAAGCATCATTCATTCCGAACATAGATACTAAAATAAGATTGTCAGATATACTTATAAAAATGTCAGCTTATGAAAGTTACCCTAAAGATAACGTCATTCGGGTTTCACAAAAGTATATCATAAAGCACAAAAAAAGACCTACAACTTAAATACTTTAATTACGCTAAAATTAACATTTCGTATTGTATATTCTAAATACCTAGACAAGTTGATCAATCAGAAAGCTGAATGAAGTTGAATAAAACTATTAAAATTACGCTCTACATTTTAACTAATGAAACTCAAAATGATTGATCATTTAATATTTTATCTGTAAATTGGAGGTTTGTATTACTCTATGCAACCTAGACTTTCTAATCAGTATCGCTACATTTAAAACTTAGTGTACAAACTCAAAGCCGAATTATTAAATAGTTTAATTTGTCAATAGACAAAAAGAAATCACACATCAGCGATTCTCCAGCATAATTTGCATTTTCTACAATTAGGACTAATACTGATCATTTATTAATTTAACATAATAATAACAAATATTATTATCCAAGAGGGTAAATTGTACTAACATGGAAGATTCCGTTCTATTTAGAATGATAAGAGGAAAAAACAAAAAGAAACATATAACTTACCTTTAAACCATATTTTTTCTTTATTTCATCTAATTTTGCACGTCTTTCAGCATCTTTTGATGAATGTGCTGTTTTATTGTTGAGTTCGATGATTCGAAAGGAAAACAAAAAAAAACAAAATTTGGTCATTTAGAAGAAGAAGAAGAAGAAGAAGAAGAAGAAGAAGAAGAAAGTATTGCTATCAAGATTATCTCAATTATGAAATGAAAATAATAGCTGGCAAAAATTTAGAAAGAACTAAACAACTATGCCACTATAGTTTAATTCTCCTTAGTAATATGAACGCAAATTTCAGAAAACAGTAAACCCAGGATTTCATAAGTTACATAGTGAACATTATAGCATTGAACCAATCAGTTGTAATTGAATGGTTTACACTTTCAACTTTAGTTTGCTGGCTAAATAACCAGATTATTCAATATAATCAATTATATTTATCTGCTTTATGATCAATATAATTTTGCGATGGTGGAGAAGATTTGTAACTCAGGTGGATGATTTTGGTGGAGTTTTGTTCGCTGAGCTGGATGGTTGAACTTTGTGCTGATGATGTCGTTCAGAAGAACGATGAAAGCTCCACGACCAAACGACCCAGCTCAAAGAACAAAACTCCACCAAGATCAATATAATTAAATGCATAATTTCTCAGTTAGAAGAAATCATTTTCTAAATAATACATATACATAGACAAAAAGAGTTTTTATAATTAATTACTCGGTATAGTTTCAGTTAGATTTTCTGTATTCATATCATCATTTGTAGAATTGATTGTTTCATTGACATCTATAATTGAAGTTAAAGCAGCCTTAATCTCGTCTGGATCACATTGTCCACATGTTTCATTACCATTATGTATGTGTACAAGTAAACGGGTTGAACCTAATCGTATTATATCACCATGACGTAATATTGATGATTTACACTTAAATAAAAAAAGGAAAAAAAGAAAGGAAATATGGACATTTCAAAAAATATATACTCTTGTCACGAAAAGACACCGATCTGAAACACTCACTGACTCAAGCCTGTTACTCCTCGTGAAGGAGCATAGGACGCTCACCAGCATTCTCCATCCAACCCTGTCCAGCTCTTTCCAGTTGTTATTCACCCTTTTAATATCTTATTCTATTTCCCGACGTAATGTGTTCTCTGGCCTTCCTCTTTTCCGCTTCTCTTCAGGACTCCATGTTAGGGCTTGCCTCTTGATTCAGTTTGATGATTTGCGTAATGTATGTCCTATCCATTTCCATCGTCTTTTCCTAATTTCCTCTACAGCTGGTTTGTTCTCTCCCACAGAAGGCTGTTGCTGATGGTATCCGGCCAATGGATGTTGAGTATCTTGCGTAGACAACTATTTATAAATACTTGTACCTTCTTGATGGTGGTTGTTGTAGTTCTCCAAGTTTCAGCTCCGTACAGTAGAACTGCCTTGACGTTTGTATTGAAGATTCTGACTTTCATATTGCTTGAAAGTTGTTTTGAGTTCCATATGTTCTTCAATTGTAAGAATGAGACCCTTGCTTTGCCAATCCTTGCCTTTACGTCTGCATTTGACCCTCCTTTTTCATCGATGATGCTTTCCAGGTACGTGAAGGATTCTACATCTTCCAGAGTTTCGCCATCAAGTGCGATTGGATTGATGTTCTCCGTGTTGTATTTGAAGACCTTGATTTTCCTCTTGTGTATGTTGAGGTCTACTGATACAGAGACTGCTGCTAAACTGGCTGTCTTTATCTGCATTTGTTCGTGTGTATGCGATAGGAGAGCTAGGTCATCTGATTCATTTGAAAGTATTATTGAAAACCAAAACTGGATAGAATAAAATTCGGTATAAAATTTGTATATTTATGTTTAGATAAAAAACAATCAATCATGGGCACTAGAATTCCATAGTCTTGATATATTTTTTCATTCGATGGTACTCTGGTGACCCCAGGTTTAGACATGTATAGATTAATTGTATTAGAAAACTACTTGTTAGGTGATACAAGAAAGGAATTCATGAATAAACAATCAAAATTTATTTTTTAGCAGAATCTAGTTGTTAACGTATGAATGAATATGATGAAAAGTTCTTTTGAACATTATGAATAATCAATAAAAACTAAGAACAACAAAACTAATAAATCAGACAAATCAATAAACGAATATATTCTAAGGTACATACATGAAGAAAAAAAGAAAAAAATGAAAGATATGAATTACCTTTGCCAAAGTAATACCATTGATAGTGGTAGTGAAATTAGAACCCCGATCCAGCAGAGAATATTGACGACTATCTGTATCGTAAATAACTTCACAATGCAACTATTAATAAAAAGAAAAAAAAACAGATTAACGAAAAAAATTAATGTTAAATATTAAAAAATATTTCATGAAAGTATATTTATATACATTGAGACACAAATAACAACGTCACTGAAGTGAGCTGTACGTATTCAAAGATTTGTCAAGTCATTGTAACTACACTGCATTACCATATACTTCTCTACTTATTCCCCTGTAGTGGCAGCACCACTACTCACAGGACTCGGACACACCAACTAACAATGTTGAATTACGAACGACCCATACATACACATATACATTGTGACATAGGATAATTGCCATCGAATGCAATAGTCTCATCACAATCACAACGCAACCATGACCAAGTATATGAACTGGTCTAGTGAACTAGATGAGTGTGAAGTTCGCTTGATGGTAATGTGCACGGTAATGCGAAGCACCAGTGGACCAGTGTTTGTCTGTTGGGTTGTGTAAGAGCTGGTGTTTATGGAATGAGTGAAGTGGTGTAAGTAGTTATTTGTGGAGGCAGTTGTTTGAGTGTGGTGGGTGATTGATGTTTCATATTGTGCAATGAAAGTAGAGTGTATGTCAGGTGTTGAGTGTATAGATTGGGGAAGTTGATGATTAGGTGGGTTTTGTTAAGTCTGAATATGTGTATGGTGTGGCAGTGGTCGAGTTTAAAGAGAATTATATTGCTATTCAAAGGGATGATCCGAAGACCTCCCCACTGACAAAAACTACGCGTCCGAGCGAGCCCGATTAGGGATCGTCGCAGGCTTCAACACGCCGGAGTGCAATGGCGAGCCTCCACCTGGGGCCAGAGCATTCGTGATCACCCTGGTCCCGGCGCCAAGTAAGTTTAAGCACACCATTCAACAATAATCTGCCTATTATACTTCAACACATTACACTCAATCATCAATTAGCAAACGTTTCACACATACAACATACACAACCAGTCGCATCACCATATAACACTCTCAACACATAAATATTTATAACTACAACCCAATTCTCAACAAAAATCATCATCATTGACACAAATACACACGGAAACATCAATTACAATTTTTACAAACACTACCCATTTATACTACTTTACATCATTTCAGTAGATCATATCCAACATCACACTCAACTTTGGCAATTCTATCGCGCCAAATTAACACTATCCATCATGCAGAACACACATCACACAACACACCGATTAGCATCATTCCACACAATACACTGTACTAATACTATTCACAACACCTAATCCTCAACTCATAACAAACACATCATACTGGTACAATGCATCTCCGTGAACGACACTTCTCTCAGTAAGCAACAAGTGCCAGCCGCCGCTACATACCCAACAACACTATACGGACAATAACACAATGATCCACCTCACACACCAAACACAAGTCATCACATCCAATCACATCAGACAGATCATCGCCACAACGGTCATCATCCACCTGTTCCCAAGACCTTCAACGATTAACAAGCCGCCTGAACACATGTACATATATATATATATATATATATATATATATATATATATAGTGACACAAATATCATACGTGATTACATTTACCACAACCACAAACATCAACGTCACTGAAGTGAGCTGTACGTATTCAAAGATTTGTCAAGTCATTGTAACTACACTGCATTACCATATACTTCTCTACTTATTCCCCTGTAGTGGCAGCACCACTACTCACAGGACTCGGACACACCAACTAACAATGTTGAATTACGAACGACCCATACATACACATATACATTGTGACATAGGATAATTGCCATCGAATGCAATAGTCTCATCACAATCACAACGCAACCATGACCAAGTATATGAACTGGTCTAGTGAACTAGATGAGTGTGAAGTTCGCTTGATGGTAATGTGCACGGTAATGCGAAGCACCAGTGGACCAGTGTTTGTCTGTTGGGTTGTGTAAGAGCTGGTGTTTATGGAATGAGTGAAGTGGTGTAAGTAGTTATTTGTGGAGGCAGTTGTTTGAGTGTGGTGGGTGATTGATGTTTCATATTGTGCAATGAAAGTAGAGTGTATGTCAGGTGTTGAGTGTATAGATTGGGGAAGTTGATGATTAGGTGGGTTTTGTTAAGTCTGAATATGTGTATGGTGTGGCAGTGGTCGAGTTTAAAGAGAATTATATTGCTATTCAAAGGGATGATCCGAAGACCTCCCCACTGACAAAAACTACGCGTCCGAGCGAGCCCGATTAGGGATCGTCGCAGGCTTCAACACGCCGGAGTGCAATGGCGAGCCTCCACCTGGGGCCAGAGCATTCGTGATCACCCTGGTCCCGGCGCCAAGTAAGTTTAAGCACACCATTCAACAATAATCTGCCTATTATACTTCAACACATTACACTCAATCATCAATTAGCAAACGTTTCACACATACAACATACACAACCAGTCGCATCACCATATAACACTCTCAACACATAAATATTTATAACTACAACCCAATTCTCAACAAAAATCATCATCATTGACACAAATACACACGGAAACATCAATTACAATTTTTACAAACACTACCCATTTATACTACTTTACATCATTTCAGTAGATCATATCCAACATCACACTCAACTTTGGCAATTCTATCGCGCCAAATTAACACTATCCATCATGCAGAACACACATCACACAACACACCGATTAGCATCATTCCACACAATACACTGTACTAATACTATTCACAACACCTAATCCTCAACTCATAACAAACACATCATACTGGTACAATGCATCTCCGTGAACGACACTTCTCTCAGTAAGCAACAAGTGCCAGCCGCCGCTACATACCCAACAACACTATACGGACAATAACACAATGATCCACCTCACACACCAAACACAAGTCATCACATCCAATCACATCAGACAGATCATCGCCACAACGGTCATCATCCACCTGTTCCCAAGACCTTCAACGATTAACAAGCCGCCTGAACACATGTACATATATATATATATATATATATATATATATATATATAGTGACACAAATATCATACGTGATTACATTTACCACAACCACAAACATCAACGTCACTGAAGTGAGCTGTACGTATTCAAAGATTTGTCAAGTCATTGTAACTACACTGCATTACCATATACTTCTCTACTTATTCCCCTGTAGTGGCAGCACCACTACTCACAGGACTCGGACACACCAACTAACAATGTTGAATTACGAACGACCCATACATACACATATACATTGTGACATAGGATAATTGCCATCGAATGCAATAGTCTCATCACAATCACAACGCAACCATGACCAAGTATATGAACTGGTCTAGTGAACTAGATGAGTGTGAAGTTCGCTTGATGGTAATGTGCACGGTAATGCGAAGCACCAGTGGACCAGTGTTTGTCTGTTGGGTTGTGTAAGAGCTGGTGTTTATGGAATGAGTGAAGTGGTGTAAGTAGTTATTTGTGGAGGCAGTTGTTTGAGTGTGGTGGGTGATTGATGTTTCATATTGTGCAATGAAAGTAGAGTGTATGTCAGGTGTTGAGTGTATAGATTGGGGAAGTTGATGATTAGGTGGGTTTTGTTAAGTCTGAATATGTGTATGGTGTGGCAGTGGTCGAGTTTAAAGAGAATTATATTGCTATTCAAAGGGATGATCCGAAGACCTCCCCACTGACAAAAACTACGCGTCCGAGCGAGCCCGATTAGGGATCGTCGCAGGCTTCAACACGCCGGAGTGCAATGGCGAGCCTCCACCTGGGGCCAGAGCATTCGTGATCACCCTGGTCCCGGCGCCAAGTAAGTTTAAGCACACCATTCAACAATAATCTGCCTATTATACTTCAACACATTACACTCAATCATCAATTAGCAAACGTTTCACACATACAACATACACAACCAGTCGCATCACCATATAACACTCTCAACACATAAATATTTATAACTACAACCCAATTCTCAACAAAAATCATCATCATTGACACAAATACACACGGAAACATCAATTACAATTTTTACAAACACTACCCACTTATACTACTTTACATCATTTCAGTAGATCATATCCAACATCACACTCAACTTTGGCAATTCTATCGCGCCAAATTAACACTATCCATCATGCAGAACACACATCACACAACACACCGATTAGCATCATTCCACACAATACACTGTACTAATACTATTCACAACACCTAATCCTCAACTCATAACAAACACATCATACTGGTACAATGCATCTCCGTGAACGACACTTCTCTCAGTAAGCAACAAGTGCCAGCCGCCGCTACATACCCAACAACACTATACGGACAATAACACAATGATCCACCTCACACACCAAACACAAGTCATCACATCCAATCACATCAGACAGATCATCGCCACAACGGTCATCATCCACCTGTTCCCAAGACCTTCAACGATTAACAAGCCGCCTGAACACACACATATCTATATATATCTATATATATCTATATATATATATATAGTGACACAAATATCATACGTGATTACATTTACCACAACCACAAACATCAACGTCACTGAAGTGAGCTGTACGTATTCAAAGATTTGTCAAGTCATTGTAACTACACTGCATTACCATATACTTCTCTACTTATTCCCCTGTAGTGGCAGCACCACTACTCACAGGACTCGGACACACCAACTAACAATGTTGAATTACGAACGACCCATACATACACATATACATTGTGACATAGGATAATTGCCATCGAATGCAATAGTCTCATCACAATCACAACGCAACCATGACCAAGTATATGAACTGGTCTAGTGAACTAGATGAGTGTGAAGTTCGCTTGATGGTAATGTGCACGGTAATGCGAAGCACCAGTGGACCAGTGTTTGTCTGTTGGGTTGTGTAAGAGCTGGTGTTTATGGAATGAGTGAAGTGGTGTAAGTAGTTATTTGTGGAGGCAGTTGTTTGAGTGTGGTGGGTGATTGATGTTTCATATTGTGCAATGAAAGTAGAGTGTATGTCAG